CATTTATAAAAAATATATTTAATAATAACATATAATAAGTTAAATATTAATAATAAGTAAATACATTGATAAAATTTTACTAACTTTTATTAATTGTATATAATAAAAAATAATAAAAATAAAAAAATCATATTTCTATATGTATTAATAAAATTATTTATAATCCATAATTATATTATAATAATATAATTGATAGATATTAAATAAAATAATAAGAAATAATAATTATGTAAAATAAAAAAATAAATAATAATCAATAAAATCATACCGTCCTTATAATCAAATGATGAAGATCTTGTGGCAGTGGCTGGTGGAAGAGACACCTTAAAACACGAGAAACAGTTTCCCATTGATGCTGTCCGTATTTAATGTTAAAGACAATTATTCCATACATCAGTAGTTCAGTCTTACATTGGCAGTCTTGATCGAAAGCTAAATAATTATAAGTCAACAAAATTGCAATTAATCTTATGTGTCAATAAAATAAATATATTATAAATATTTGTATATTTTTAATAAAAAAAATTTCTTATTTTAAAAATTTTAAAATATTGTATAAGAATAAAAAAAATGATAATATTGATAAAAAAATTTATTGACTATATAATATATAATGTATAATATAATTATGCTTATGCTATAATTGTAAGTATAAACTTACATATATAATAATATATAATAATAGTAATATTGTTATGATAAAAAAAGTAAAATATATTAGAAAAATTCTTTACCTTACTATTAAAGCGGATTTTTGGTCTACTTGGGTCACAATAACCCCAGTAAAGACCCCCCGCAAAATATCTCGTTTTGCCTTCATTCATTAAATTCTCACAAAGTATTTATATTGTAATGTATCACAATTGAAATTAACAAAATGTTTCAATCCCAATCCTTTTGAACATTTCTTTTACATGACTTTTAGGTTTAACTTTATATTTGACTAATATACTGTCATTTATACCGACGTAACCTCATTAAACAATATAATGACAGTATCATTTCACATGAAATGTATATTTCCGCCAATTTATTTCGTATTATATATTAACGAAATCTATATATAAAATCACCAAAACAAAGATAACTTTGTACTTTAACGCATAATAAAAAAGTTCCTTCAAAATGAAGCATGAACGAGATCTTTTTCATAAATTCAGTGTTGATATGTTATAAAAATAATAATCACTAGAAAAGATTATTAATGTTCATTCAATAAAATGAGTCACAGAATATAAACAAACTAAATCATTTGATAGGTGTTTTGATTGATATTAGTTGGCGAATTATCGATACCAAGAATTCAAGATCAGTATTATATTGTATAAAGTATGTCAAGACGATATTACAAATATGAATTATTATTTTTATCAATTGTTTATTTTTATTAAATCAATTTTATTTATAAACTTTTATCTCGAAATTATAATATATAAAATTAAATAGTTTAACATTTTAATTTAGATTTTTTTGTAATAATTTTTTTTATTTTTATATATTTAATAATAATAATACATAAATTAATAGATAACAATATATAATTATTGTATTGTTATGTGAATTTTTCATGAAATATTTTTTAATGATTTTGAATAAACTTCAAAATATTATAAATTAAATAATTTGATTTATTTAACAAATAAAAATATATAATTTTAATAATTCAAATAATTTTATAATAAATTAAACTATATAATAATAAATAAATTTACTGAATTTGTAATAAACTTTATTTAATATATTATATAAGTCTTATCTTTTTGAAAAATTAATAGAATAGAATATATAAAGCTAAAAAATGTATGAATATTTTTATAATCCTAATTAATTAATACATTTTTTATTACTAATTTAATTTTATTAAATAATCGATATAAATAATAATATTTTGTGGAAAACAAATGAATTACAATTAAAATTTCATAGCAAAAACATTTAAAAAAGTTCAAAAATTAATAAATTTATAATTATATTTATAACATATAAAGACGAATATATACACACGATGCGTATTCATTTGGGAATTTTTAATTTAAACTGAGTTGTAAAGTATTGAAATATTCTGCTTGCAATGATATAATTTATAATTGAAATAAATATACAGAATATATTTTGAAATATTTTGAAATATTTTTGGAGAATCGATTTTAGAAATTAAAACAAAAATAAAAATTGATATATAAATATAGTGATTATTAATATTTGTTAAATTATAAGCAATTTAAGTTTATATTAATAAAATAAGATAGAATAACGCTATAACAAAGATAAAAATGTTTCATTCTATCTTGCTTTGTTTAACATAAATTTCAATTATTTATAACTTAATAAATAAATCTTAATATTTATACATATCAATTTTTGAAATAGAATTTATATTATTTTATATTATATATATTTATATAATTTATTAATTTATTATAGTTATATAATTTATTATATTATTTTTTTATCTCTACAATCGATTCTTAAAAATGTGCAATGAATATATTACTATATAATTGTATAATTAAGAATACCTTGTATAATAAAGAAAAAATGTTTTAAATTAATTGTGTAATTTGAATATAGTGCTTTTATTGTTTAAAAATTTAATATTTATGTAACTCGCAATAAAAATCCCTAAAATTTCACAACATTGTAAATATATAAGTATTTCAACTACAAATTCCTACAATTAAAAGTGTCATTTTCAAATTTTACACGTCAAAATTTATAATATATAAATTTATAATATATAGAATTTATAATATATAATATATAATAAATAAAATTTTAATATAATATATAAATTATTGTTTTGCATATTATACACAATATTTGCTTATTAAATTCATTTATATTTATATGAATAGATATATTACATTTTTTTTCTCATTTTTTTAATCATTTTAATTTTTTGATTAATTTTTTAAAATTTATTTTAGAAATAAAAATAAAGATAAATATTTATACAAGTAAAAGATTTTTTAATCTCTGGATTATTCGCAATCATATAAAAATATATAAATTATAAATACATATAATAAATTATAATATATATAATAAAATCAATTAGTAAAATAGTATATATTTATAATATTTTTATAATAAAAATTAATTTAAAAGTGAAAATATTTATTTTAAAAAGATTCAAAATTGTTAAAAATTATGTAAATATATAAATCATTTCATCTAAACATAATAAATTTTGCAATTAAAAATAAATATATATTTATTTTAAAAAAACATTTTATTAAAAATTAAAAATAATTTATTAAAATAATAATTAAAATTAATTTATATATATATATATATATATAGTTATTAGAATAATTAATTATTA